GGCATTGAAGATGAAACGTGGCTGGGTCTTTCAGCATGACAATGATCCCAAACACACCGCCCGGGCAACGAAGGAGTGGCTTCGTAAGAAGCATTTCAAGGTCCTGGAGTGGCCTAGCCAGTCTCCAGATCTCAACCCCATAGAAAATCTTTGGAGGGAGTTGAAAGTCTGTGTTGCCCAGCGACAGCCCCAAAACATCACTGCTCTAGAGGAGATCTGCATGGAGGAATGGGCCAAAATACCAGCAACAGTGTGTGAAAACCTTGTGAAGACTTACAGAAAACGTTTGACCTGTGTCATTGCCAACAAAGGGTATATAACAAAGTATTGAGAAACTTTTGTTATTGGCCAAATACTTATTTTCCAAATACATATGCCAATAAATTCATAAAAAATCCTACAATGTGATTTTCTGGATTTTTTTTCCTCATTTTGTCTGTCATAGTTGACGTGTACCTATGATGAAAATTACAGGCCTCTCTCATCTTTTTAAGTGGGAGAACTTGCACAATTGGTGGCTGACTAAATACTCTTTTTCCCCACTGTACGTATATAATGGCGTTTGATAAAAAGTGTACTGACAAGTGTCTAAATGACTCCAGCTGCATCAGAAACCAGTAAAGTGTTGACTTCAACATCTGGATCAATTCATTGTGATATTCATGTAATGTATTTGGAAGGAACTAGCTTTAATCTCACTTCTAAAACAAATGATGCAGGGAGTTGGTGTATCATTTCAACTTTAATTTGTTGGCAAGTTAAACATGTTTCAGGTAGACTAGCTCGTTAAGAGCATTGGACCAGTAACCGAAAGGTTGCTGGTTCGAATCCCCGAGCCAACTAGGTGAAAGTCTGTCGATCTGAGCAAGGCACTTAATCCTAATTACTCCTGTCAGTCGCTCTGGATAAGAGTCTGCTAAATGTCTAAAACGTAAAACAGTAGATCAGTCTGTTAACGTAGTAAATAAGTAGACAAAGTGTATTTTCTCTGGAGAACAGTATGGCAATGTCTGACATACAGTGCATTTGGAAAGTATTCAGACCCCTTGACTTTATCCACATTTTGTTACGTTACAGCCTTATTCTAAAATGTATTACATTGATGGGGGGGGGGGGAACAATCTACACACAATACCCCATAATGACAAAGCAAAAACAGGTTTTTAGAAATGTTTGCTAATTTCTTAAAAATAAAAAACAGAAATATCACATTTACATAAGTAGTCAGACCCTTTACTCAGTACTTCGTTGAAGCACCTTTGGCAGCATCAAGTCTTCTTGGGTATGATGCTACAAGCTTGGCACACCTGTATTTTGGGAGTTTCACCCATTCTTCTCTGCAGATCCGTCAGGTTGGATGGGGAGCGTTGCTGCACAGCTATTTGCAGGTCTCTCCAGAGATGTTCGATCGGGTTCAAGTCCGGGCTCTGGCTGGGCCACTCAAGGACATTCAGAGACTTATCCCGAATCCAGTCCTGCATTCTTGGCTGTATGCATAGGGTCGTTGGAGGCGGCGTATGGTAGAGAAATTAACATTAAATTCTGGCAACAGCCCTGGTGGACGTTCCAGCCAAGGTGTCATGTAAAAAATCTTCCCAGAGTTAAATAGTTCCCAATCGTTCTAATTTCTCACAGCGTGAAAATGTTCCCAGTTCAAAATGTTCCCAGTTAAATAATTGCCAGCCGCACACAGACTTTTATCATTTAAACCATATTATCAACCGACTGGTAGAGCATGTTTTGACAGTTGATTTAGAAATAGATATGAAAAAATATTCACTTGAACCTGATTGGTCAACTCCCCTAGCCCTCCTGCATCAATTTACATAATTTGTATCCTTTTGGTTTGCTGCAGTTCAGTGGTGGCACTAAACTTTGCCCACTCAGTGGGCTGTAAGAAAACTCAATTAGTCACCAAAGATTTGGAATAAAAGGCAGGAACTCAGTTGGTGAGGGATTATTATTGCACCATTCCTGTTAGTAGAGACCATGAAGAGTAGGAATATGAAAATAAAGTTAAATGTAAAAAGGCTAAAAAGCACACATTTCATAAACATATGCTCTAACAGGAGGTTGATACACTATATGTGGACACCCCTTCAAATTAGTGGATTCGGTTATTTCAGCCACACCCATTGCTGACAGGTGTATAAAATTGAGCATACAGCCATGTAATCGCCATAGCCAAACATTGGCAGTAGAATGGCTTTCCTGAAGAGCTCAGTGACTTTAGGATGCCACCTTTCAGTTTGTAAAATTTCTGCCCTGCCAGAGCTGCCCCGGTCAACTGTAAGTGCTGTTATTGTGAAGTGGAAACGTCTAGGAGCAACAACGGCTCAGTCGCGAAGTGGTAGGCCACACAAGCTCACAGAACAGGACTGCCGAGTGCTGAAGCGCGTAAATGTTTTCTGTCCTCGGTTGAAACACTCACTACCGAGTTCCAAACTCTGGAAGCAACGTCAGCATAAAAACTGTTTGTCGGGAGCTTCTTGAAATGGGTTTCCATGGCCGTGCAGCCGCACCAAGCCTAAGATCACCTTGCGCAATGCCAAGCGTCGACTGGAGTCTGGAGCAGTGGAAACGCGTTCTCTGGAGTGATGAATCACGCTTCACCATCTGGCAGTCCAACGGACTAATCTGGGTTTGGCGGATGCCAGGAGAACGCTACCTGCCCGAATGCATAGAGCCAACTGTAAAGTTGGGTGGAGGAGGAATTATGGTCTGGGGCTGTTTTTCATGGTTCGGGCTAGGCCCCTTAATTCCAATCAAGGGAAATCTAAACACCACAGCATACAATGACATTCTAGACGATTCTGTGCTTCCAACTTTGTAGCAAAAGTTGGGGGAAGGCCCTTTCCTGTTTCAGCATGACAATGCCCCTGTGCACAAAGCGAGGTCCATACAGAAATGGTTTGTTGAGATCAGTGTGGAAGAACTTGACTGGCCTGCACAGAGCCATGACCTCAACCCCATCGAACACCTTTGGGATTAATTGGAACGCCGACTGCAAGCCAGGCCTAATCGCCCAACATCAGTGCCCGACCTCACTAATGCTCTGAATGGAAGCAAGTCCCTCAGCAATGTTCCAACATCTAGTGGAAAGCCTTCCCAGAAGAGTGGAGGCTGTTATAGCAGCAAAGGGGGCACCAACTCCATATTAATGCCCATGATTTTGGCATGAGATGATTATTTTTGACACTGACGCGTTTACCTTGAACGTAATATTGTTGGGAACCTAAACCGGTGGGTTTAAGTGACGCATAGTTTTGGACAGGTTTGTAGACAATTTTCTTCATATTGTTGTTTAAGATCCAGCACACTATTGAAGTACCGGACATTATAAAGCAACTTCATCACAACTCTCTCAATGACATTCAATTCAGCATTGAAAAAAGGCACAAGTTTAAGTTTGTTCTACCTGAGTGAGTCTAACCACAAGTCAGAGACAACTAAAATGACACCAAATGCGTTTGATAGGTCATTTTTGTCTTCTTCTAATGCCTCTTAAGGGGAAAGTAATCCAAAAGAAACTGAAATTAATCATACTACGTTACTGAGTTTGGGTAATCCCAACATTACGTTACTTAACTAACGGATTACATTTAGAAAGTAACCTACACAACCCTGCCCGTGACCAACCAGCAGCCAATTTTAGATGATTTCCCATTATTTAGCCTGTTATACATTACCTCTTGGGTGCACTTCCCTATCTCTATACCACCAATACTCGAGTGCATAGTGTAGTGTCCTCAAACTCAACTCTGGACCACGAAGCCAATGCCACTGCTTCCCCTCCCCTAGAGAGCATACGCGAACCAGATTGGGCAAATTTGCCATTTATCGCAACAGTTTGTGACAAAATTATCCGTAGAGCGGAAAATGCAATGGAAACACATTAACTTTTCAGTAAATGTAACTTAATCACGCAAATAAAGTGTCTGATGGAAACACCTCTGGTGGGGAAATGCACATTTTTTAAATGCAGATTTGATAATATTTGCATGATCTGTCGCAAATTAGATAGAAACCTAGCTATTGACAAGTATTTTTCACCCTCATCTTGAGGTTAATTATTTTCACAGCAAGGCTTGAATTCAATTACACAAGCTCTTTGAGACACACCAACAGTTTCAGCATATACAATAGGTTAGAACCATGTCATTCAAGAATATTTCCATTAAGTACAAATATTTATTCTTAAAACAAAATTAAAATTAAGGGAGAGGGAGAGATACAGTAAAGACACTTCTCATCACGTAGCATCTGGGATGTGAGAACATTACAGAAAATCTGGCTTTTAACACAATTGAAACTCCAAGATCAGAGTGGGCATGGATGGCCAATACATATTGTGCTGGAAAGAGATCATAGTCCTTCAATGTACTTGTGAGTAGTCCCTTAAGTAAAAAAAAAAAAGTCTAACTGACAGGACTGCAAGCTACACTACGGCTAAAATGCAGACTGAGTATTCCCACACACACGCCTTGACACAATCTCACACACAGCAAATTATAGTTGCCACCAAGCACTTCAGAATCCTAAAAATAATTCCTTAAAAACAAACTAAAGACAAAGTATACCTGTGAATCTCCCATGACGGTTTCTAGACAAAACATACACACTACAAGCACACAGACAACAAGGACACAAACAGTTTCATCTGACCTCCCACCAACCTTGTGGATGCCGGCCCTGTTTGAGTTCAGTTCAAGCCCGCTTGATTGGTCGACAATGAGAACAATCCATCATCAAGGTACAATCTTCTCACAAGTCCTGGAAACATGAATGTTTCAGAACATGTTTAAGGAGGTTCTTTCGAAGTCCACCTTGAGGGAATGGATGATAATAGTCCAGAACAAAGCCCCTGTTACAGTCAATGGCTGCGCTCACACAGGCAACCCAATTCTGAGCTTTTTTCCACTAATTAATTGGTCTTTTGACCAATCACATCAGATCTTTTTCATATTTTGATCTGATTGGTCAAAATACCAATTAGTGGAAAAAAATATCAGAATTGGGCTGCATACCTAAATGCTGCCAATGTGGTTGTTAATAGGAGTTTGTGAGAGGAGGATATGGAGAAGGGGAATGTTCAGTAGAGGGCTTCGTTGTTGCTGCTTCGTGGCCTCTTGATCTTCTCTATGTTTTTCAGGATCATGTCGTGTAATGTCACCTGCAAGCGGATGGGGTTTGGTTATTACAGTAAACAAATATCTGCACCAGAACATGACAGGCTAACAACATAACGTTGATACAACTTGGTTGAACAGAGCCAGAACGGTGTGCATGTATGCTCACATATTGATTCCTCAGCTCTGACACAATGATCTTGAGGCTGATGTATTCCTTCTCGTCTATTTCAGTCACAGTGCGCTGGTAGTCCTCCTGCAGACAGACAGATGGTCAACATCGAGACAGCCTCAGGGAAGCACATCGAATGTAAACAGTAAACACTTACCACATGAGGGTACTTTGTAATTTTTGAGACTAGCTTCGCTCTGGTGATGTAATACCTGTCAATAACAACAAACGTTTGAGACAGTCCAAGGAACAGTTTCATAGATTTGAAGCTCTATGGTTACCCTGTTGCAATACTTGTTTCATATAGGGCGGCAGGTAGCTTAGTGGTTAAGAGCGTTATGCCAGTAACCGAAAGGTCGCAGGTTCTAATCCTCGAGCCAACTAGGTGAAAAATATGTCGATGTGCCCTTGAGCAAGGCACTTAACCCTAATTGCTCCTGTAAGTCGCTCTGGATAAGATCGTCTGCTACAATGTAAATACACACAAGGTAGAGTATACTGTAGCATACCTTGAAATTTGGTCCAGGTAAGAGGCTGCCTCTCCTTCCACAGTCCTGAGCTCAGCAACAGTTTCCTCCTGTGGACAGAAACAACCACAAGACCAGCGTTATCTGACGGAACGTTAAAAGCGTGCAAGTACTGCCCCCTAGTGTTGGAGATTTGTTCATGTTTGGAAAAGTAGACAAGAAGCTATACATGTGAATGTGCATATCTCTGCACTTATATTGATTGGAAAGTATAATACCTGGATGGATACGCCAAAGTTGTTACCATCCTCTATTCTGGGGATTAAGAGCTGGACCCACATTTTGACCTGAGAGTGAGAGACATACAGATGAGACAGTCATTTCTTAACAGTAGATCTCCACTAAGAAATTCAGAGTGAGAGAGCCCTCAAAAGGCAATCAAATAAATCCCTCAAAGAAAAATGGCTGTGTTTGTGTGTGTACATACTGTGTTGCATTTCTCTATGAGGGTTCTTATTTCTGGCTTGACTCTTTCGATCAGGTCCACCAGCTGGCCGTTGCTCTTTATCATCCCCCCTGGCATGACAAACACCTTGGGGCCATCTAGTGAGGTGGGATTGAGAGGTCAAACATCCAAGCAGCTTCTAGCTAATACAGAATACTGCAAATCAGTCAACTATTCCCTTCGATCAAGAAATATATTGAAGATTAATGGTTCTGGCATATGTCGGCATTGACAGACATTGAGAGAAATCAACAAGCGTATTTTACAGCACAGCAATGCCATAAGACTTATTATGCAAGTATTAAATGGCATGACAACAGGCAGTAGGGTTTACCTTGACAGTTTTCATCATCTAGTCCATCTTCCATTTTCCGTTTTCTGGCATTTTGCTATAAACATTAACCTCGGGTTAACATAGGCATTACTTCTGTTACACGTCTCCCTTGTTCAAAGGGTTTCCAAATGTTTCTCCTTTCGAACAGTAATGGTCAAGTGCTTTGAGCACAGTGCCCTGCTTAAAGGGAGTGAGAGACTGCTGTTGTTGGCTATCCTCCATTTTGTTCAGGGTAGTTTATTTTCAGATGTGGAACATACCCTTGTGATCAGACTAACGAAGTTGTTAGGCAGCACCATATGAACAAACGCTAGCTAACTGTGGGTGCAGGCTTTTGTTCCAGCCAAGCAGTAACACACCTGATTCTACTTTTCAGTCTTCAATCAAGATCTTGATTTGTTAAATCAGGTGTGTTACCTGTAACCATGGTAATGTAATTGACAAAATCATGTTTGTCACTCTGGTATTGAATGTGTAGACTTTCATGATACTGATTTGATGCAAATGAGAATCCATTCACTTACCACATCCAGTCCATCATGACTATTGTTGAGGATGATTGGGTCTGGTACTTTGACATTTATCTCTGAGTGGATCTCTTTCAGGTCTGCGACATTCAAAATGGGCTCCTGGAAAGGATGCAGAAATCAAATCAAAGTGTATTTGTCACACACTTTGTAAACAACAGGTGTAGACTAACAGTGAAACGCTTACTTACGGGCCCTTCCCAACAACGCAGAGAGAAAAATAGCAATATGGACAAAAATCCATGTTGTGATAAACTGCCTGAATTGATGCAATAACGATAAGTTATAACAATGTGCACTACAGTTTTTTGTATTATCTACTAATGGTTTGATGGTTGTAGCCATCAACTGTCCCATTAAATGACTAAAATGACAAAAAAATATATATATATATATATATTATTTCCGTAGTATAGGCTACTTATCGTAATGAACGATATCAGCAAAATTCCTGAGATAATTTTCTGTTTATCGTCCCAGCTCGTGTGGACCATGTTAATTAGTGATATGGACACCGAGGAACTTCAGGCTCTCCACCCGCTCCACTACAGCCCCGTCTATGTGGATGGAGGTGTGCTCAGCCCTCCTTTCCTGTAGTCCATGATCAGATCCTTCGTCTTGCTGACGAGGGAGAGGTTGTTGTCCTAGCACCACACTGTCAGGACAACAAGGGTGGTGCCAGGACAATGCATCACAGCTGACAACACATCATGTCAGCTGTGACAGAGTACTTCAGGGGCTCTGCATTATCCTATATTCTATTTTAACAATGAAATGGACAACAATAGAATCCCTGTTATTAGAATATGAATTACCTTCAGAAAGCTGTCAAGTTCCAGCAACTTTTTAGGGAAAAAGTCTGCGACCAGGTTTTCAGCCTAGTAAAGAACAAACGTTTTTTTTTAAACCAATGATCACGTGTGCACCAGCATCAGTATCTACATGATGCCTCCACTACACGATGATTCCAAACAGTTATTTGTGGTTGTTGTTTGTAAAATTTGTGAAATAAAAAGACTTTGACCATCAAAAGTCTAAAATAAGAAAATGTTGACACTCACCTCACCCGTGATTCGCTCTCTGAAAGTATCAACCTATGAGGAAATAACAATAATAACAACTATTTTTTTCCGAACACAATTTATACACCCGAAAGTAAAACCATGTTGAATATGACAGTCCAAGCACACCTCGTGCCATTTGATGGAAGCCGCTGTCCACACCACCAGTTTTTTTCCCCATACCGTAGTGTCTTTTCCTGTAGCTAGCAGGCTACCTATCTAGTTAAATTTGTACATTTGCTAATATTATTGCTCTCCCCAAGAACTGTTAGTGTTACCACAGATTAAATGGGAAATATGTAAATGATTTACTAGTAACGTTACTAGCTAACTGCAGAAAAAGACAGCCTCGTGCATAAGTATTTGTGTGATGCGGGATACTATAGACAAACAAACAAATCGGTGCTGTCCAGTCCCATCAGGATAGATAAACACCACTTGACTGAGCTCAGATTTTTCTAATAGAACACTCATAAGTGATGTTGTGCTAATGGCTAATAACGTAGTTAGCTAAGTAATGAGCAAAATGTAGCTAGCCTCCCTAGCTAGCTAGGCCTGGCAAGCAATCTCAATTATTCAACTTCTACTTCCAAGAAATTGTGAAAACATTACCTTTGTTTTGAGGTCATTGTCTACCTTAATGCCTTTTGATGACATAATTTGAAATAACTCAAATTAATTGATATAAACAGAAACCAAACAACGGTATTATGTTGCTTTTGCCGCACACCGCTTCGAAATCAAGTTATGACGTTGACAACATGCGACTCGCAACACAAAAAAAAACACGTGGACCGAAATAAAAAAAACCCGTATGCTATGTTTCTCGTGGATTACTTCTTCTTCTTCAGTGGGGTTTATCGGCGGTTGGCATCCAACATTATGGTGCATTACCGCCACCTACCGTACTGGAATGTGGGCCAGAGACAGGGAGAAACTAAATCCTACCTGCCAACCCCGTTTCTCTTAAAAAAGATAACAAAATATTTGAAGCTATATCTAATGACGTTCTGCTCAATATACTATTTAAACTAATTTCCTGTATCCCCTTCTCCCTCATACTAAATATCATCCTCTCTCTTTCCCTCTGATACTGCCCACACTGTAGCAATACATGCTCCACAGTCTCTATTTCCTGACAATAATCACACTTTCCTGATGGATGCTTTCCTATCACGTTTAATGTCTTATTCAACTGGCTGTGTCCCACCCTTAATCTTGTAAAAATAGCCTCCTCTCTTCTGTCCCTTCCTGCTGTCCTCCCCTCCCCGACTTTCCTCTGTACCTGAAATAAATGCCTTCCCTTATTATTTATATTCCACTGCTCCTGCCATCTCTGCACCATCACTGTATATATCAGTCTTTTTGCCTCTGCCTTGCTCATTGTCACTTCAACATCAACATCCCCACTACTAAGTGCTTGTTTAGCCTATTCATCTACTGCCTCGTTCCCCTCCACCCCCACATGGGCTGGAACCCAAGTAAATCTTATTTTTAATACCCATCTGTTTAATCCTGCCATGGGTTTGTAGCACCTCATAAAGCAGGTATTGTCTGCTACGTGAGCTAAAGGACTGGAGACTCATTAACACTGCACTTGAGTCAGAGCAAATAACTATTCTGTCTGGCTTAACTTCCTCCACCCACTGCAAGGCCAACAGTATGGCTATCAGCTTCGCCGTATATACAGCCAGATGATCTGTAATACGTTTCCTGACTTCCACCCCACACTCCTGCACTACAAATGCTGACCCAGTACGTCCTTGGATCTTTTGAACCATCTGTGTAAATGGCCACAAAATCCTGATACACAGTTTCCAGACGTCTCTTAAAGAAATCAGCTGGATCAACCCCCTCCCTATCTTTCTGTAGTCTTTCCAACACTTCTAGATCAACTACTGGAGGCGGGAGTAGCCATGGTGGATTTACAGGAATAACTACCGTTGGACTAAACTCCCTTCCATACAGTCCCATCTCCTTCGACTGGGTATTACCCACCCACCCAAAGCTCGTGTTCGGTCTTCGCTCATGTTCCCAGCATGCCTGTAAAATCCCTTTCGCAGGATGAGACACTCCATGTCCTTGTAGGTTGACCCAATAATTCATTGCCAGCTGCTGTCTCCTAATCTGCAACGGCATATCCCCCATCTCCACCTGTAATGCAGCCACTGGGGACGTCCGAAACGCCCCACTACATATTCTGAGTCCTTGCCCCATATGACATCTAGCCTTTCCAATGAGGTCCGGGCTGCAGAACCATATGCTATACTGCCAATCTATTACAGATCGGATCAATGCAACATACATGGTCCTCAATGAGGAACGCCCAGCCCCCCACTCCTTCCCTGTCAGACAGCGCATCACATTTAGCACCTTCTTACACTTTCCCACCACTCTCTCAATGTGATCTGCCCAGATCAGTCTAGTATCAAAGTATACCCCAAGGAACCTGAAGGCCCCCACCCTCTCCAAGTTTCTCCCATATAACCTCAAGCATACCTCATCTCCCACCTTCCTCCTGGTAAAGATCACTGTTTGAGTTTTCTCTACAGAGAACCTGAATCCCTGCATTAATGCCCACCACTCTACCTCATCAATTGCTTCCTGTACCTTCCTGACTGTGTATGGCACATTTCTTCCCCTCTTCCATAAGGCACCATCATCTGCAAATAACGACCTCCCTATATCCGGCTGTACATTCTTCCTCCTACCCATATCAAGCTTGATTAACAACCCCTCCTTCCACATCATCTCATACGCCTTCTCCACATCAAAAAAGACAGCTACAACAGTTTCCTTGTTCACCTGAGCCTTCCTGACCTCTGCTTCTAAGCAGAGCACTGGATCCATAATTCCCCTTCCCTTCCTGAACCCACTCTGATATGGCGTTACTAGCCCTCTGCTCTCCAGGAAGTAAGTTATCCTCTCTGTAATCATACGTTCCATAATCTTACATACATGTGATGTTAAAGCTATTGGCCGATAGCTTGTTGGCTTTGTTGGATCCTTCCCGGGCTTCCGGATTGGTACTACTACTGCCTCCTTCCAACTGCCTGGTAGTTTCCCCTCCTCCCACACTCTGTTGTACAACACCAATACCTTATCCAGTGCAACATAACATAGTACACCTCATCTTTCCCAGGTGAAGTTAACCCACCCTTACCTATTGCTCTTTTCACCTCTGCCCTGGTAAATAGTGCACTCAACGCATCATTTACATCCTCCCTCCTTTCCAGCACTACAGGATGCTCCTCTCTCGTGTTCTCTCTCCCCCTCTGCCCCTCCTCTGACAGATTTGCGGAGCTATGCACTTGGACAAATGCTTTGGCCATCATCTCTGCTTTCTCCTCATCCGTTACTGCCACGTCCTCCCCACTCGTCAACACTGGATAATCCCACTCCCTTCTGATCCCACTCGTCCTCTTAATCATCCCCCACACTTCTCCCACAGGTGTCGCCCTTTCAATGATGTCACAGAACCGATGCCAACATGACTTCTTTGCCTGACGGATAGTTCTCCTCACCATGGCCTGGGCCTGCTTATACTGAATCAGATGTTGTAAATTATGCGTCCTTTTCAGTACTCTAAATGCCCTGTTCCTAATCCTCACCATTGCCCCACTTTCCTCCGTCCACCATGGGACTGCTTTCCTCCTCCCTGAACTCTGAGGTATAGCCTCAGTAGCAGCCCCCACTAACGCTATTCTCACCCAGTTATTCATACTATCTACATCCCCTCTCATATCCACCCGAGCCATCACCTGCTCACTCAGCTCCTGAATTCTAGTGGATTATTTTAAAATACAATATTATATACTGATAAAAAAATGATGTCCGTGTATTACATTAACTGTGTGTCAGTGTTTTTTTTGCGCAGCATTGATCGTAAAAATAATAAAAAAAAGTGATTCAAATATACGTTCCTGTCAGGTGATCATGTGGGTGTGTTTACATAGCTGACGATGTAAACAATAAAAGACGCCCATCCGGATAAATCACATACCATAAAGGCAGACAATCTGCATTTATTTCGGTAACAGCGATACATTTTTGTTTTCCATGTTATGTTTTAATTCATAGAAACAAGGAGCAATGGACTTCTACATCAATTTGAAGGTGAATTTCAGGGGGAATGCGAAACATTTTCTCCTGTCAGGCTCCGAGACTAAGAGTTGGGAGTCAATGGAGGCCATGGTAAGCAAGGATAACGACGGTGGTGTTTTCATAGCAGCATTCACCTTGGCATACCTTTACCGTAGCCTGTTACTGAAAGCTATCAACGATCGATCGCCGACCGCTTATTTGCTAAATGTTGTATACCTCCTATACATTATTGATACCCTGTAGTTGAAAACATTGTTTATTATTAACATTGCTCTAGCTATGACAATCCAGTATTGTAAAATTAGGGCCTAACGTTAGCTAGTTACAGTAGCTAGCTAAACGTAAACGAACAGAAGAGCAGTATTATAACAACGTCCCAGTCGCAACAACATCCTATCGAGCAATGTTAAAATAAGAGGCGCTGCTATTAATAAAAGTGGATATATTACATTAGGCCTACATTTTGCTGAAATAAATTAGAAAATAATGTATTGCCTGCCCTGTAGAGGACATCCACGTAGATGAGTATACATGCGTCGTAACCATGTCAATGGTAACAACAACAGTAAAGAAGACCAGTGACATTCTTGATATGAGCACTTGAAGCCGTGGTTGTCAAAATACACTACAAATATAACCTTTCGTCTCATTTAGCCCCATTATCATCTATTGTTGAAATTATTCAGTTGCATAATTTTGGGATTAAGTCATATTTACCCCAGTGACACTTTATTGACAACAGTCAGGCTATTGCGATGGAGGGCTACAGTTAATGTTGCTGGTTCTTTGCGGTTCTCATTTCCTTTTCATAAATGTAATATCAGAACAGATTACTAGCCTATATGATAGCTTGGTTCATGTTAGTACTGTACTCTTTTTGAAGTCAGTATGTGGAGCTTATTGATTCAAGGGTATGAGTCTGGCTAATGACACTTGAGGCTTCCGTCTCTCACTCCAGGGTTTAACAGCCCTGCCCTATGATGCCCAAATAAACATTTGAGCCAAGCTGCCTCATCTGACAATGTCCCCTTATGCCAAGATGTGTCAATTTACAAAGCAAGCCATTAAAATATAGTGCAATGGGCTGCATTCTCTCTCTCTTCACCCAGTAAAATGGGAAATCTTAATTTCAGGGAGTGCTAGACTGAGTGGATGATGCCAGTTGTTGTTGGTTGTTTTTTCCTATATGGAGAGCTTATGAGACTGTTTCCCTCTGAATCTCCTGGCAGCACTATGCTCAGACTCCATCGTCACTCCACTGTCCAGTCACCAAGTCATGGAGTTCATCCTCATTGAAATTGCCATTGTGTCTCCATGTTGCCATGGCATTGCATTCAAGGAAAATTGATACATTTTCCTTTCAGGCATCATGCTACATCATAGCCCTGATTGTTCATTCAATTAGCAAATATGGGATACTACGGCATAGCCTAAATATAACCTTGATAACATTATTGATTTTATTGGCTTTCCTTGAAAGGATCACTTTTATTTACATTTTGGTCATTTAGCAGACGCTCTTATCCAGAGCGACTTACAGTTAGTGAGTGCATACATTTTTATTTTTCATACTGGCCCCCGTGGGAATCGAACCCACATCCCTGGCGTTGCAAACGCCATGCTCTACCAACTGAGCTACACGGGCCCTATGTCATTTGGAGGCACCTGTCCTTTATGTGTCTGAGAAACAGCTTGCTAAATCATGTAATACGCTGGTGGTTTATAGATTGTGTCTTTTGTCTACAGGTGAAAAGGTCCTTTGGCCTGTGTAATCTACAAGTGACTTATTTTGATGAGGAGAATGAGGAGGTGAGTGAGAGCAAAGAGTTACGGCAATGTTAATACAATGCTATTACAATGTTGTTGCAATACATTTCCGTTTTGTGTTTCAGGTATCCATAAACAGCCAAAGTGAGTAGTAAAGAAAAAAAGTTGTACCAAACATAATATTAGTTCATTGTTCAATGTAACATGTGCAATTTATTATATTTTTCCTCTCTTCTAGTGGAGTATGAGGAGGCATTAAAGGTAGGTGGTAACTTAAATCTGACTCCTGTCCATATTTAGGCCTTATGATAACAAAAGGTTAAAGTGAAGTGTAACTGTTACCAAAATACGCCTTCAAGTAGCAAAGCAATACATTTGCAAAATTAAATTAACCATCATTCCTCTGTTGATTTCATCAGAGTGCATCCAGGCAAGGGAATCGGCTGCAAATGAATGTGTATGAGACCAGGGGTCAGCCCACGCGTGTGCCGGCCAAGGCCAGTGGAGGGGAGCCCAAGAGAGGGTTCCGTCCCCCACAGCACTGCCCAAACCTGGCTCAGGTGGTGAGCAGGAAGGTCCAGGCTGCTGTCCCTGAACAGGGCATGGTAAGGACAGAGCTATAGATATACAAACTACTGTACAGGTAAAAGTCAGTAAATTAGAATATTTTGAAAAACTTGATTTATTTCAGTAATTGCATTCAAAAGGTGTAACTTGTACATTATATTTATTCATTGCACACAGACTGATGCATTCAAATGTTTATTTCATTTAATTTTGATGATTTGAAGTGGCAACAAATGAAAATCCAAAATTCCGTGTGTCACAAAATTAGAATATTGTGTAAGGGTTACATTTTGAAGACACCTGGTGCCACAAAATAATCAGCTGATTAACTCAAAACACCTGCAAAGGGCTTTAAATGGTCTCTCAGTCCAGTTCTGAAGCCTACACAAACATGGGGAAGACTTCAGATTTGACAGCTGTCCAAAAGGCGACCATCGACACATTGCACAAGGAGGGAAAGACACAAAAGGTTATTGCAGAAGAGGCTGGCTGTTCTCAGAGCTCTGTGTCCAAACACATTAATAGAGAGGCAAAGGGAAGGAAAAACTGTGGTCAGAAAAAGTGTACAAGCGATAGGGATCACCGCGCCCTAGTCAAGATTGTGAAAAAAAACCCATTCAAAAATGTGGGGGAGATTCACAAGGAGTGGACAGCTGCTGGAGTCAGGGCTTCAAGATCCACCACCAAGAGACGCTTGAAAGACATGGGTTTCAACTGCCGCATACCTCATGTCAAGCCACTGTTGACCAAGAAACAGCGCGAAAAGCGTCTCACCTGGGCTAAGGAAAAAAAGAGCTGGACTGCTGCTGAGTGGTCTAAAGTCATGTTTTCTGACGAAAGCAAATTTTGCATTTCCTTTGGAAATCGAGGTCCCAGAGTCTGGAGGAAGACAGGAGAGGCACAGGATCCACGTTGCCTGAAGTCTAGTGTAAAGTTTCCACCATCAGTGATGGTTTGGGGTGCCATGTCATCTGCTGGTGTCGGTCCACTCTGTTTCCTGAGATCAAGGGTCAACGCAGCCGTCTACCAGCAAGTTTTAGAGCACTTCATGCTTCCTGCTGCTGACCTGCTCTATGGAGATGGAGATTTCAGGTTCCAACAGGACTTGGCGCCTGCACACAGCGCAAAATCTACCCGTGCTTGGTTTACGGACCATGGTATTTCTGTTCTAAATTGGCCAGCCAACTCCCCTGACCTTAGCCCCATAGAAAATCTGTGGGGTATTGTGAAAAGGAAGATGCAGAATGCCAGACCCAACAACGCAGAAGAGTTGAAGGCCACTATCAGAGCAACCTGGGCTCTCATAACACCTGAGCAGTGCCAGAAACTCATCGACTCCATGCCACGCCGCATTAATGCAGTAATTGAGGCAAAAGGAGCTCCAACCAAGTATTGAGTATTGTACATGCTCATATTTTTCATTTTCATACTTTTCAGTTGGCCAACATTTCTAAAAAATCCCTTTTTTGTATTAGCCTTAAGTAATATTCTAATTTTGTGACACACGGAATTTTGGATTTTCATTTGTTGCCACTTCAAATCATCAAAATTAAATGAAATAAACATTTGAATGCATCAGTCTGTGTGCAATGAATAAATATAATGTACAAGTTACACCTTTTGAATGCAATTACTGAAATAAATCAAGTTTTTCAAAATATTCTAATTTACTGACTTTTACCTGTATACTTGCTACTTAATAGTGCTGAGCAATTGACCAACATTTTGGTTATGTTTCGGTTTTTAAACAACAAATTGACCGACGTTGGTTCAATTATTTGAATTCCATTTCGTTCGGTTTTTTTCTGTGAGCTCAATGCGCACATCTCACAGTTTCTCTAGAGATAGATTAGATCCAGCCTGAACTGTGCGATGTAGTAGGGAGTTGTAGTTTCCAACAGGCCAATATTCTACATAGTTTAGCTCATAAAACGTGGTAATTAACTACAATGATCATAATCCATTGCGCATCTACTTGTGCGCGATCGTGAGGTGATATAGAGAGCAGCTGTTGCTTCGTGAGGTATCTCTACCTGAAAATACATGATCTAAGTGATTGGTAGTTGGTATTTAGCAGTCATAAAAGTATGCCTTATTTACTTTGAAGAACTAAAAAATTGTAATTTTGTCAGACAGCATAGGCAGCAGCTCTATAGAGATGAGATGACTTGAAATGAAATAATAAAGTAATCAAATAAAACAAATGTAATATACACAACAACTGAAATATTTTAGTAAAGTAAAGTACGGTGAATAAATGATGGTTAATAAGTGATAAGCAGTAATGGGCAGTCTACCATTATGGGACTTTTATTAATTGTTTTATTCTGTGTTGTTACAGCATTCAACCCACATAATGCATAGTTCATTTAATGTTTGTTTTTTAAATAATCGAAATCAAAAACCTCAATATTTGTTAAATAATCGAACTGGAACCAAACCTACCTCAAAAAGCACTGATCGCGAGGCCTTCCGAGTGGCGCAGCGGTCTAAGGCACTGCATCGCAATGGTTGAGGCGTCACAACAGACCTGGGTTCGATCCCAGGCTGTGTCACAACCGGCCGTGACCGGGAGTCCCATAGGGCGGCGCACAATTGACCCAGTGTCGTCCGGGTTAGGGGAGGGTTTGGCCGGGGGGGGCTTTACTTGGCTCATCGCGCTCTAGCGACTCTTTGTGGGGTGCCGGGCACCTGCAGGCTGACTTCAGTCGTCAGTTGAACAGTGTTTCCTCCGACACATTGGTGCAGCTGGCTTCCGGGTTAAGCGGGCGGGTGTTAAGAAGCGCAATTTGGTTGGTCATGTTTCGGAGGACGCATGACTCGACCTTCGTCTCACCCGAGCCCGTTGGGGAGTTGCAGCGATGAGACGATCGTAATTGGATCGCAATTGGATATCACAAAATTGGGGAGAAAAAGGGGGTAAAAAAAATACAAAAAAAATAAATAATGGCTCAGCACTATTACTTATTAAGCTACTTCTTTAAAATTGAATGAGATTTTGTGTCATTAGGAATAAAAGTAAAAACTAAACTAAGTCATTGTGAAACATACAATAAATATGGCTTATTCGTCTGATTTCTCACTACTTTGGTTTCCAAGGTGATCATGAAAGAACTAAAGGGGACCAAAGAGGAAGATAAGACACCTCCAGCATGGTTTACATCTTACATGGAGAAGGTGAGGAGATGATTTGGACATTGATCTTTGGACCTTACTGTGGTTTTATCTTCAATTAATGTACTATTTACTATTGAAATGAAACAGTTGTATGTGTATATTTTATAGATCAAATTAAACTAACTAGCTAACCAGTAACCCAAACTCTTGTCATCCAGTTCAAGGACCAAGTAGTGAGGGAAGCAGTGGAGAAGATCTGTCGGGAGTTCTCGGGCCAGTGCTGCATCCACAAGCCCATTGGGGCTGAGGTCCAGATCCCTGAGGTGACCTCCTCTACCCTGCCTGGGGGTCCTAGTTCCACCCCTGCCTGCAGCAGCTGCCGGGGCCAGACCGCTGGGGGAGGATACCAGTGCAGGTGAGAAGGGGAGGAGGAGAGAGGTGGTTCAGGTGGCTCAGAGAGAGACTAGGGAGGACATTGACAAATGTGAATTAGTTAAAATGTCTGTAAAGGTAAATAAACACTAATGTAATCAGATATTTTCTTTCATGTTTTTGTTTTTGTAAATAGCCTACTCCCACATACTTTCAATTAAGTGCCTCCAAAATACATTGTGTTGCTCCAAAACAAACTAATTCCTTTGATCAGTTGTCGTTTCCATTTCTTAAGTATGCGAAACCTGAGAAGATCAGTTTCAATTCATCAGAAGGCCCTTTGGTTGGTGTGCCCCTCCCTGACTGTCTGGTTTCTTTTTCCCAGTGTGTGTACATCCTGCACGCTGTGTGAGCCCTGCAGTTTCTCCCATGACCCCAGCCACAACCTGGTGAGAGCCAGAACACCCCTCTCCATCCCTGAGCACGGCTTGCCAGCCCTAGATCACAGCAGGTAAGACTAGGGTTGGAACATATAACATATTGTAACAGAGTTACATATTCACTTTTTGGAACCTAATTTAACGCTTATGGGGTGCCAATGTTAATTAGTTATTGTTTATTTTGGGGGTTGTTTTGTGTTATGTCATTTTCAATCCTACAATGATCATTGTCGTCAGAAATGTGTCAGAACGGTGTCTGTCCTCTATGATGGCCGATCAGAAACCCTTGCATTCTCCCCTTCTCTACCTCATCCCCAGGTTCTACCGGCGAGGGGACCGGAGCTTGCGTAAGGCGGAGAAGCAGCGTCTGAAGGCTGAGAAGCGTCAGCTGAAGGCGGAGGTAAAGGAGATCAGGAAGCAGCTGAAGATGGAGAGGCGGGGCCTGCAGTGGAGTGCCGCCGGCGATGGGAGCTCCTCCCCCGTCCTGCTCCAACCCAGGGCCACCCAGGCCAACAGCCCAGAGTACGTCTTAAAGGGACAGTTCACCAAAATTAGATGAAAGTAGATACTGCTGGCAAGGCTTGGTATTCAGTGTATCATGAGGTAAAATCAGTGAGAGGCATAGGTCTTGTCTCTGTAGTTAGACTGCTGTCAAAAGGAGGGAAATGACAGAGAGAGTTGTGCTTTGGCCATAATTAAGGGATGGAGAGAGGAAAGGATGGAGAGAGATGTTCTGTGGTTTAATAGTGTATTTTGGCGCTTTGTCCCCCAGGCGTCCCAAGCGGCCCTGCCCTCTGGTGGTGCCAGCCATGACGGCCCTGTTCCTGGATGAGAACCTGCCTGATGGGACTCGTCTTCGCCCGGGCACAAAGTTCATCAAGTACTGGAAGATGAGGAACACTGGCAGTGTGAGCTGGAGCTCTGAGACCAAGGTACTATTATGGGATGAGAATGCACCTGGGATATGCACATTATCTGAGGTTACCATTGACAGCCACAGTACTCTTAGCTGAAAGAGAGGACACGACAAAGAGAGTTAGGCATAACACTGACAGTCACTCTCTCTCTCCCTCCCCCTCCCCCTCTCTCTCGCTCTACCCTCATCTTCTCAGCTGAAGTTCATGTGGGGGAACCTGGCGGTGGCGTCGGGCGACCGCTGGCGTGAGGTGGCTGTGCCTTTCCTGCAGCCGGGTCAGGTGGGCGTGGTAAGTGTGGCCCTGTGCGCGCCGGCCCTGGAAGGCTCATACACCTCCCACTGGCGTCTGGCACACGGTGGGGAGCAGTTTGGCCCTCGCGTCTGGTGCAGCATTATGGTGGACCCCCTGGCCCCTGCAGCCGTGATGGCAGATGGCGTTCTGGTGTCGCCCTGCGTCACCCCCCAGGCAAGTCCACCCACACGCTTGACTTTGGTTCTCAGTGGCCAAACTGCTATACAATGCTGTAGTTCTCTGAAAAAGATAGTAGTAATCTCAGTTAAGTATGTATTCTGTCTGGGTAACAGTTATTTTGATATGCTGGTGCTCTACAGGGGAAGAACCCCCTCTCCACAGATAAGGGTGGGAAGTCTTGTGCTGCAGCCTCTAGGGATCAAGCACTCATGTCAGTGGACCAAGACGAACGAGAATACTACATTCCCTCTGTGGACCTGCTCACAGCCCAGGACTTACTCTCCTTTGAGCTGCTGGACATCAACATTGTTCAGGAACTAGAGAGCGTGCCCAACAACACCCCGGCAGGTAAGCCTTCCAATGCTATTTACATGCTAAAACTGCAGGGTGTTCTTAATCAGTTGACTGCACTTTTCCCGTCTCTTTTCTGAACTTCTCTCTCATTTTCTCTCTCTCTCTTCCACACAGATATGACCCCGTGCATATCCCCACTGCCCCATGATGGTCCCCTGCAGGAGAAGCCCACCCTGGGGTTGATCCAGGAGGAAGCAGAGGCCCATCAGGCCCAGGGAGTCACAAGCATCCAGCTGTCTCAGTGCCTGGGGCCAGGGGCGGCGGGGGGCCGGGTTCCAGCCCAGGAGGAGGGAGAGGAGGATATCAGCGGGACTCAGTTTGTGTGTGAGATGGTGATGCGCTCGCTCACCCTGGAGGAGGCCCCAGACCACACACCTCTCTGTGGGAACTGCCCCGGCAAGTGTGAGTTTTTATTAATTCATTTAGTTCCATATTATGCCTATGTTAATACCAGATTAAGGGCCATAACAGTGTAACCAAAATTCCTTTCCCTGATCTTCACAGTGGTCCACCCAGCAGCCCAAGGTGGCGCCGCCTCCTCCTCTCTTAAAGGGAAAGCTGTTGAGAAGCGTTTGGAGGCGAAGGCGGAGAAAACCCAGGACATATCCACCATCAGCCCTGTGGCCCCAGCCCTAGCCCCACCCCAGCTGGCTATACCAGAACTGAAGATGCCAGGTGATTGGCCCACCTTATCCTCCTGTTTTCAATTAGTTGATTGGTTGATAAATACCACTTGAGCTCAAATCTGGGCCCTGCAAATCTGGGCCCTGTTATCAGGTAAAAAACAACAATTAAATAGTTTGACCGTTTGCAGATGAGGGACTGGAGTCAGACATCGAGAGCATCTGCGTGGACGCCAGCGGTGACGAAGACAAGGGCGAAGATAAAGGAGAGTTGACAGAGGGGAAGAGGGGCCCCCGCAGCCGTTCCTCCTCGGCCTCATCCGAGGATTACATCATCATCCTCCCTGACTGCTTCGACACCAGCCGCCCGCTGGGAGAGTCCATGTACAGCTCCGCCCTCTCCCAGCCTGGCGACGCCCCTGACACGCCCACAGACCCCGACCGCCAGGGCCGTACCACTCCCGAGGGGGAGCACAATGAAGCAGAAGAGACCGTTTCAGGCTCCAGCAGCGCCAACGATATGCTGTGCACCTCCCAGACGTTGGACGCCATGCCCCTAACCCCTGTGGTGGTGGCACCCCCTCGGCTCAACTCAGCTCTTACACTCAGGTGAGAAACCATGGGCCAGCTGTGCTTGGAAATAGGTTTACGGTGCTATTACACATTTTGACAGTGCTAAATTGCTGAGATGTTCCAAATGTATTGTTGGCGTTGTCTTCAGCCCAGAGAGCAATGATCAGACTGAGCCAGCAGCAGAGTCCCTTGACAGGACTGAGGTCTACCAGCTGGGGGAGTCAGAGGATGGTAAGGCACACACAAACACACACACACACACACACACACACACACACACACACACACACACACACGGTCACGGTCACGTACATAGTTCTAGCAACTAAAGGAAACAAAGCAGTTGGGCCTAACTGACAACAATGCCCTAACCGTAATCGTGTTTTCTGCTTGCTGCAGTGCCTTTTTGCTGTCTGATCATTCAGCTGTAATATCGAAAGTACAATGTCTACTTGGTTCTAAACAAACACAAGTACTAAGCACTAGATGAATGGCTATGGGGTAGAGGTCTGCTTGGAGAGTCATTCTTGTCAAAGAGCTCCTTCTATACACTCCCCTCTAGAGCGCTACAACTTATCCATATGAGCATACCGGTATATCCTTTTCCCAGAACATAACCAACCAGTCATCTCTGTGATTGTGTCTGAAAGGTTCCAAGCAGCCAGACAGTCAACCAGACAGCCCATCTGCTTCTGGTGACTCAGAAGACAACTCCGAAGACCCTAGGTGGGACCCTGATGTGCAACTCAGTCAGTTCAGATGCTAATATTTTACTATATCTCTCTTGTTAAAGAGATTGTTAAAGCGGAATGTCAATTTAATGATATTAGTGTTGGCTGACCAGAAACAAAATGGTGTCAGTAAGACTCACACCCTGGCCCTCTCTGTCTGTCTTGTTCCTTCTAGGCACCCCGGCATCACTGGAGGCCTGGTGAAAGGAGCCCTGTCTGTCGCAGCATCTGCCTACAAGGCTCTGTTCACTGGGCAGTCTGGCCCAGTGCAGGTCAGTCCTCCATTCACTTCCTACAGTGCTGTTAATGATGGCATTCAAGGTCATCGTTTTTGCAATCACAGAAGATTGCTACAGTGAGGGGAAAAAAGGATTTGATCCCCTGCTGATTTTGTACGTTTGCCCACTGTCAAAGAAATGATCAGTCTATAATTTTAATGGTAGGTTTATTTGAACAGTGAGAGACAGAATAACAACAACAAAATCCAGAAAAACTAAGGTCAAAAATGTTATAAATTGATTAGCATTTTAATGAGGGAAATAAGTATTTGACCCCCTCTCAATCAGAAAGATTTCTGTCTCCCAGGTGTCTTTTATACAGGTAACGAGCTGAGATTAGGAGCACACTCTTAAAGGGAGTGCTCCTAATCTCAGCTTGTTACCTGTATAAAAGACACCTGTCCACAGAAGCAAACAATCAATCAGATTCCAAACTCTTCACCATGGCCAAGACCAAAGAGCTCTCCAAGGATGTCAGGGACAAGATTGTAGACCTACAAAAGGCTGGAATGGGCTACAAGACCATCGCCAAGCAGCTTGGTGAGAAGGTGACAACAGTTGGTGTGATTATTCGCAAATGGAAGAAACACAAAAGAACTGTCAATCTCCCTCGGCCTGGGGCTCCATGCAAGATCTCACCTCGTGGAGTTGCAATGATCATGAGAACGGTGAGGAATCAGCCCAGAACTACACGGGAGGATCTTGTCAATGATCTCAAGGCAGCTGGGGCCATAGTCACCAAGAAAACAATTGGTAACACACTACGCCGTGAAGGACTGAAATCCTGCAGCGTTCGCAAGGTCCCCCTGCTCAAGAAAGCACATATACAGGGTAATCTGAAGTTTGCCAATGAACATCTGAATGATTCAGAGGAGAACAGGGTGAAAGTGTTGTGGTCAGATGAGACCAAAATCGACCTCCTTCCCTGAGCCAGGGCATTGAAAATGGGTCGTGGATGGGTATTCCAGCATGACAATGACCCAAAACACACGGCCAAGGCAACAAAGGAGTGGCTCAAGAAGAAGCACATTAAGGTCCTGGAGTGGCCTAGCCAGTCTCCAGACCTTAATCCCATAGAAAATCTGTGGAGGGAGCTGAAGGTTCGAGTTGCCAAACGTCAGCCTCGAAACCTTAATGACTTGGAGAAGATCTGCAAAGAGGAGTGGAACAAAATCCCTCCTGAGATGTGTGCAAACCTGGTGGCCAACTACAAGAAACGTCTGACCTCTGTGATTGCCAACAAGGGTTTTGCCACCAAGTACTAAGTCATGTTTTGCAGAGGGGTCAAATACTTATTTCCCTCATTAAAATGCAAATCAATTTATAACATTTTTGACATGCGTTTTTCTGGATTTTTTTGTTGTTATTCTGTCTCTCACTGTTCAAATAAACCTACCATTAAAATTATAGACTGATCATGTCTTTGTCAGTGGGCAAACGTACAAAATCAGCAGGGGATCAAATACTTTTTTCCCTCACTGTATCCTGACTATGACCTAAAGAGACATTCCCACAGACTTTGGGATATTTAGGCTATCAAATAGCTACAGTATGTATATAGATTCATTTAACATGGCCGTTTCTGGCTGTTGGCTTTTGCATAGGAAAGGGGGAGACTGAAGGGGGGTGGATGAGGTGGCCTACTCTTTCCAGGAGAACACTTTAATTTCTGTTGAAACAAATGGTAAACATATCACAAGTTGCTATCGCCAAGCCATTCCTGTCAAAAGCATACTCAGCCTTGAAGTCATAGATTGGAATACAGGCTGAATATGCAGCCATAGACCAGGTATATTCAACAAGAGTTACAGTATGTGTAAGTTTAGCTGAAGGGGTGTTGGGTGTAATATATATTTATCACAGAGAGACAGAACCATATAGGACTTACTTCTATAAGCTGTGGCAATAGTCAACATTGAATGATGTTAATCAACTTCATAGAGTGTTTGAATAGTGGACACGTCAGGTCCTCATTCCAAGTGTGTATGACTGTCAGTGTTGGAGAACGCTATGCTTCTTTCAGATCACAGCAATTAAAACACCACACACACACCCCCCCCACACGCTTAAACCTTTCTCAGCTTAACTGTTCAAAGTATCAGCGTACTGTAGACATATGATGCGTGTCTTATTGTTTGAAGATAATCATTCCCCTACTTTCTGTGATGTCGTGCCATGGCTGACAACATGCTATGGATATTTTTGAAATGAGGACCATTAAATTGATGCACTCCATTTAATTCCATTTTAAGAGGGTATATTAATCCCCATTCTTAACTAGGACCATATTTAGGTTTAAAAAGAAAAATAATGTAAGTATAATATACAAATATATGATTTTTTTGTTGCACATGGAAGACATAAATACCGATGCAAACCCAAAAGACTAGCTGCTCAAGAAGTGAAGGATGTTATAATTGTTTAAGACCCCATTGAAGGGATTTTATTTATCAAAAAATGAATTAACCTCCTTTACAAAATGTCTTCAATCTGTTCTATATTGTCCTCAGAGGGAGGGGGTTCTTTTCAGAACAATACATGGGGCCTGGTGATCATGATATATCAAAAGCATTGACTCTTTCCACTTGGTATCATTCTTTAAACTTTGTATAATTTTTTCCACTTGATATCATTCTTTTTTTTTTTTAAACAATGTACGTCAAGTTCTTTCAAAACATGAAAGCTGAAATCAAGCAGTGTGTAACAAGTTTGAAATGCTTTTATTATTTTCAATACAGAAATGCTAACGTGTTTCAGGTGATCCTAGGAGGTAATCTTTGTTGTTAAAATATTTTTGGTTTTAGAGTTGATTGCTTGAGGGCTGTTTGGAAATGTAAAGGAAGATTTGCCTATGTTCTTCTGGTTGAAGCTTGCTCATGTCATTGTGCTTGAATTTGCACTGTTCTATATGTTTATATTTGTAGAAAATAAAAGTTACTGGAAATGTTTGCTTAAGTCTTGCACACTAAGGGGAACTTGACAGGGTTGTGGGCATTGTGAAAAAGAATTATAGCACTTACAGTGATCAGTCATATAATGAAGCAAATGGATATTGGTAAAAATCATTGTTAATACAGAAACCCTTTGAATCAACCCTATTTTGGTATAGTGTAGTCTTAATGGTTCTTAGGGTTTGCCTTACCAAAGAATAAATAAGTGTCTGCTAAATGACTAAAATGTACAGTCCTGTATTGCCACTTATCAGTCAACTTTTAGGGTGTCAAGGAGAAACTGAATTAAAGGACAATAAAGGATTGTGGTGTTTGAATTAATTAAAATTAAAGTAAGCTTTTCCCACAGTGGAAAAATGTATGTCAGAAATGATGGCAGGTTAATGGAGGTCAGAAACAGTGAGATTCATACATTTCTACATACATGTACTTGAAACATTCATACCTTCCATATATGGGCAGGATATTTTCATAGAGGGTGAAGAATGAGAAAACGCCAAAAAGTTTTTGGGGAGGGATAGTGTGCAGATTGTCTGAACTCTTTCTGTGTTGCACTTAAAAGACTTGCCTTGAACCCTGATGTTGAATTGCATTGAATTCTAGATCGTGCTGAACTGAGCGTTTGAATCAGGAAAAGTTTATTCTCACGACCTCTACAAGCCAGAATGTTGAATAAAATTATATTTTAATGTACTTTACCGGCATGCGCACAAGATACAAATACATGCACTACTTGCCGAGCTCGTGCACGTGTTTACATGGTTTTGCGCATGCTTCAGGGGATAGAAATCTGAATGCACTACCAGGGCTTTGGAAAGTTGATGTAATTATACTTTCCTATGGATATATTGTATCACATACCTACCAATCAAAAGGACCAACCGTACAGACAACCGGTAAAGTACGTAAAAATTCAATGTCGGGTTTCCAGGCAATTAAAAGACAAGCTAGTAGTTCCATTAAAATGGGGAAAAAATTGCTTTTTAGCAGAACTATTTCTCAAGCAAGAATTTTGTTAAGACTGTCAGGGAGTGGTCGTATGCCGTGTTCACATGCTTGTCGGAAGTAGGAAACTCCCGACTTGCTGATTTGTTGAACGCAGCACATGTAAAACAACCAGTTAGCAAGTCGTACATTTCAGAGTTTTCTAGTTCCGACTAGCAGTTGAACGCAGCATGACTGGAGTGGGGAAAACTAGCTGTTATTTGCAGATGTTTGGAGCTTTTTGTTATTGGTTTACTAACCGCATGGCGATGTCACCATGGAAAGCCGAAACTCCCGCCCATGCAAACCTGCTGATTAGAAGATCCTGTGTAGATTGTATTTTCAACCAGCAACTATCAGGAAATAACACTCGTCAAATTTTGTCACACTTTTACAGCATTAGTTTCATCACAATATGATACAAAACACAGGAAAAAAAAACATTTTGACTGCACTGGGCCTTTAATCAATACTCAACTTGTACATATCGTGTCCCCCTATAGGAAGTTGTATGTCACCGTGTCAGTGACGCTGTGCCTGCTGGTCAGCTCACTGGTCTTCTTCTTCCTGTTTCCTCGCAGTGTCACCCTCTCACCCGTGGCTGTCAAGTCTGTCTGTTTACTTCACCCCGACCACTGTCCAAATGAACATCACGGTGAGACCTCATTGGCCTTATTCATCCATATACCACACTGTCAAAACGGTTTCTATCTGCCATAAAATTATCTTCCTCTGCATCACTGCAGTGTGTGTTTTGGAAGTGAATGTAATAATCACCTTGTCTCTTTCCCATCACAGAACATCCTGAATATTACCAATGACAACTTTTTTACAGTTAAGGCCTACAACTTGACAGTGCAGGCTCTTTTTGATAAAACTGTTGTGGGAACGGCTGATATGAAAAATTTAACCAACGTGAAACCACTCACTGACAAAACGGTGAGCACCTCCCCTCATTACCAACTGCTATACCGCAGAGACGTTAGCTTCTGGAAGCCTCTAAATATTGTTACTTGACTCACTGATGCGCTTCCATATTTCCCCTGACAGTTTGCCTTTGAGATTCCTGTCAAGCTAGTGGAGGAGGGTCTGAAGTAAGTACAAACTATAACCTTGGTTAAATTATGTCTGGTGCTGAATCTTCCATCAAGTCAGTACTGAGACATACAGTGGATATAAAAAGTCTACACACCCCTGTTAAAATGCCAGGTTTTTGTGATGTAAAAGAATGAGACAAAGATAAATCATGTCAGAACTTTTTCCACCTTTAATGTGACCTATAACGTGAACAATTAAATTGAAAAACAAACTGAAATCTCAGGGGGGAAAACTAAAAAAACTCACTAACCTGGTTGCATAAGTGTGCACACCCTTAAACTAATACTTTGTTGAAGCACCTTTTGATTTTATTACAGCACTCAGTCTTTTTGGGTAGGAGTCTATTAGCATGGCACATCTTGACGTGGCAATATTTGCCCACTCTTCTTTGCAAAAGCGCTCCAAATCTGTCAGATTGCGAGGACATCTCCTGTGCACAGCCCTCTTCAGATCACCCTAGAGATGTTCAATTGGATTCAGGTCTGGGCTCTGGCTGGGCCATTCCAAAACGTTAATCTTCTTCTGGTGAAGCCATGCTTTTGTGGATTTGGATGTGTGCTTTGGGTCGTTGTCGTGCTGAAAGGTGAACTTCCTCTTCAGCTTTCTAACGGACGCCTGAAGGTTTTGTGCCAAAATTGACTGGTATTTGGAACTGTTCATAATTCCCTCCACCCTGACTAAGGCCCCGGTTCCAGCTGAAGAAAAACAGCCCCAAAGCATGATGCTGCCACCACCATGCTTCACTGTGGGTATGGTGTTCTTTGGGTGATGTGCAGTGTTGTTTTTGCGCCAAACATACCTTTTGGAATTATGGCCAAAAAGTTCAACCTTGGTTTCATCAGACCATAACACATTTTCCCACGTGCTTTTGGGAGACTTGATGTTTGTTTTTGCAAACTTCAGCCGGGCTTGGATGTTTTTCTTTGTAAGAAAAGGCTTCCGTCTTGCCACCCTACCCCATAGCCCATTCATATGAAGAATACGGGAGATTGTTGTCACATGTAGCACACAGCCAGTACTTGCCAGAAATTCCTGCAGTTCCTTTAATGTTGCTGTAGGCCTCTTGGAAGCCTCCCTGACCAGTTTTCTTCTCGTCTTTTCATAGATTTTGGAGGGACGTCCAGTTCTTGGTAATGTCTCTGTTGTGCCATATTTTCTCCACTTGATGATGACTGTCTTCACTGTGTTCCATGGTATATGTAATGCTTTGGAAATTATTTCGTACCCTTCTCCTGACTGATATATTTCAACAATGAGATCCCTCTGATGCTTTGGAAGCTCTCTGCGGACCATGGCTTTTGCTCTGAGATGCAACTAAGAAAATGTCAGGAAAATCCTACTAGAACAGCTGAACTTTATTTGTGATTAATCAGAGTCACTATAAATGATGGCAGGTGTGTAATGACTTCTATTTAACATGAGTTTGAATGTAATTGGTTAATTCTGAACATAGCCACATCCCCAGTTACAGTGGGGGAAAAAAGTATTTAGTCAGCCACCAATTGTGCAAGTTCTCCCACTTAAAAAGATGAGAGGCCTGTAATTTTCATCATAGGTACATGTCAACTATGACAGACAAAATTAGAAAAGAAATTCCAGAAAATCACATTGTAGGATTTATTTGCAAATTATGGTGGAAAATAAGTATTTGGTCAATAACAAAAGTTTCTCAATACGTTGTTTTATACCCTTTGTTGGCAATGACACAGGTCAAACGTTTTCTGTAAGTCTTCATAAGGTTTTCACACACTGTTGCTGGTATTTTGCTCTCTGCAGGTCATTCACTAGGTCCCCCCGTGTGGTTCTGGGATTTTTGCTCACCGTTCTTGTGATCATTTTGACCCCACGGGGTGAGATCTTGCGTGGAGCCCCAGAACGAGGGAGATTATCAGTGGTCTTGTATGTCTTCCATTTCCTAATAATTGCTCCCACAGTTGATTTCTTCAAACCAAGCTGCTTACTTATTGCAGATTCAGTCTTCCCAGCCTGGTGCAGGTCTACAATTTTGTTTCTGGTGTCCTTTGACAGCTCTTTGGTCTTGGCCATAGTGGAGTTTGGAGTGTGACTGTTTGAGGTTGTGGACAGGTGTCTTTTATACTGATAACAAGTTCAAACAGGTTCCATTAATACAGGTAACAAGTGGAGGACAGAGGAGCCTCTTAAAGAAGAAGTTACAGGTCTGTGAGAGCCAGAAATCTTTGTAGGTGACTAAATACTTATTTTCCACCATCATTTGCAAATAAATTCATTAAAAATCCTACAATGTGATTTTCAATTCTCAATTTGTCTGTCATAGTTGACGTGTACCTATGATGAAAATTACAGGCCTCTCTCATCTTTTTAAGTGGGAGAACTTGCACAATTGGTGGCTGACTAAATACTTTTTCCCCCACTGTATGCATCTTTCCGTTACTGCATGTACCAGTTACCCTTGTAAGGTTTTTATACCCTGTTCAAATATCACGTGAACTATTCGGCCCTTCTCATAACGAATGTAACAGTTTTTTATTTCAATTTCTAATATGATGTGTTTAATGTAATAGTGTCTCTCATTAACACTGAGTTCAAAAGTTTTCTGACTAAGTGCTAATTGTATGAGGCTCTTTTTAAATTTGACGTGATATGAAAATTTACACGTAACACACAAAACTGCCCGCTATTCAATCTATACCACAGGTTAGTTCGGCTATTTGTTACTGACTCACTTTTTCCATATTCCCTGCATTCCTGTGCCAAGTAGAGGAGTAATAAGTAATGTACTTTTAGCTGTCTCCCAATAGTATGAAATGGATTATAAAAGTACCCTAACACAGTTTGGAAATAATGACAAGATATCGCAAAGTTTCCTTTAATGTCCTATAAGTACATAAATAAAAAACTGAAAGTCTCAGGGGAATAAACCATACTGTTCATAATGACCTTATAATACTGACCTTTGATTTTCGATTCTTTTGGCATAGGCATACATGCCATTTGAAAGTATTTGCACTCTTCTTTGCAAGCTGAAATGCAATTGGCACCTGAAGCCTTTCAATACCGATTGTCTGACAGGCAGTGGTCAATTCCATACTTTAATCTCTTTGAGCATGTTGTTTTGATGTGAATATGATGTTTGGTGAAGTGACAATCCTAACTTTTAACTGGACTAGTTTTCCAATTACGATTTGGACTTTTTTCTCCCGAAAGCTTCACTGAACAAAAGCCCCCAAACTGATGCTGCAACCTCTTCCTGGGGATTTCTTGATGTGCGTTTGTTTTTGGAAAACTTGGATGGCAAAATTACTTGGTTTCATGACGAAACTTTCCCGTCTTTGAGAAATATTTTTTTAACTACAGGGGCTTGGAGTTATCTTTAAAAGGTCGTCAGCCACCTAACCCTGCCTTATATGAGAATAGGATTGTCAAGCATGAACGCCATACTCCAAAGTCCGATCCTTTAAGTTGCAGCCTCTGACCTCCATTTCTCTCTTTTCATGATTTTGGGCGTCATGTATGCTATTGTCCATTCTTAGCCACTGTATCATGTTCATTAGTTCCTGATAAAGCTGGTAAAATAGACCATTCTCCACTATTTCCAATGATCCCTGTCTTGGAACTCACCAATGTTTTTCGAAACTAAATGTCGGAAATCATAAAAACTATGGATTAATATACTTAAGGCGTTGTATATTCAATGATTGAATAATTGTAATCTAACATAATCATCCCGTTACTGGGAAAAACTCTCTATCAACCAATGGCAATCCCACTTAAAGAAGAGCCTGACATCAGATTAAGATCGAAATTGAAAATTTCCGAAAATCTGTGGATTTTCAAATTATGCAACTATTTTCATACAAGTTTCTACTTTTTATCCTTTTTGGCAAGAAGCAAACTTTGAATTATAGTTTTCAATTTCCGAATTTTCTCCGTCTCCTTCCCCGGGTCTTTTCTACTTCTTTGACATGACCCGGTAGACTGCTGGTCCCCGAAATCAGTGGCTTGAGTTCTTCATATTGCTCCCGTTATTTTAACCGCTTACTTGTCGAATTCGTCCAAAATCCCAGCTGGTCAGTCACTTTTTTTCTGCCTTAAGCTCTTGTCTGGCCATATTGTTTGAGAAGTCGTTAGTTTGGCATGCTTTTATGAAACATTCAAAACTTATCGGTACAAATGGCAATGCCTCTTAAGGAATACAGTTTAGCCAAAATCTTTTGTGACAAATTATTTCCACATCTTGAAATAACAGTTAAAACCTCAATTTTTTCATTCCATTGTCTATTGACGTTTGAAAATCAGGCCTTCCTTTTTTAATGAGACTTGCAAATTGGCATGATATTTCCTGATTGCACGGTTTGAAGTTTATTTTCATTTTCCCATTTAATCAGTTTGTTTCAAGATTTCACTTATGGCACTAGCAAAAGTCTGACTATTATTTCTCTTTTACACACACTGGCTTTCGGTTGTACTTTTATCCGTAGTATTTGGCGTGGTTACAAAGTGCATACTGGCCAGCTTTAAATGAGTTTGCTGTAAAGTTCGCTATTGATTGCATGTCAGATGACCATCGCTAATTGATTTCTGTGTTCGACAGTTAATCCTCTTCTGTTTGTTTTTGATGTTAAGCAGCAATATATTTTGTTGTTGTTTAGAACAGCTATTACTAGCTTTTTGAACTGCAACTTTATATGATTTCTTAGAAATGTATAATAAGCACTAACTCATTCGCTCTTGGATGGTAATCCACTCATTTCTCTGTGTTGCGAATTGTCACAGTCCGTAGATTGCACTAACTTAAGCAAGCTATTACTGTGTACACAGTTATTTCAACGTACTGGTTTTGGTTGTACAGATTACAACCTAATTCACCATTTTAAAAGGCCAAAGTAGTTGATTCAGGTGGAACTACTCTAAGAATAAAAGGAAACACCCATTTAAAGTGTCTTAATAGGGTGTTTGGCCAGAACAGCTTCAATGCACCTTGGCATAGATTCTACAAGTGTCTGGAACTCTATGGGAATGCAACACTATTCTTCCATGAGAAATTCCATCATTTGGTGTTTTGTTTATGGTGTTGGAAAACGCTGTCTCAGGCACCGGAATTTCCCATAAGTGTTTAATTGGGTTGAGATCTGCTAACTGATACGGCCATGGCATATGGTTCACCTCGTTTTCATGCTCATCAAACCATTCAGTGACCACTCATGCCCTGTGGATGGGGGACTTGTCATCCTATGAGGCATAGCCATGGTAGCCAAAATAGTGGCCTGCCCAACATTTTTATACATGACCCTAAGCATGATGGGATGTTAATTGCTTAATTAACTCCGGAACAGGAACCACACGTGTGTGGAAGCACCTGCTATCAATATACTTTGTATCCCTCATTTACTCAAGTGTTTCTATTATTTTGGCAGTTACCTGGATCTGCTACTTGGAAGTTCCATCTGAGCCACTGGCTTAGTCCCATAGAGTACCACAGTATGAGTCATAATACCCATAAAACCAAGCGGTCAAACAAGGAAATGGTTCCAATTGTTTTTCCACCATTCATTTTTCCCATAGGGGATTTTAGAAACACTTAAAATAAGGGCTGTGTTTCGTGTAGGCTTACCCTGGCGTGATCTTTTTGATAACCATGTAAATCTCTCTAGGACAAAATGACTTATCAATATATTCGCCTGTATTTACCCCTCAAATGAAATGCTAATTTGGCTATTATAAAGAACTACAAATGCCATGATGATCTGGACGAGACTGCCGAATCGAGGCAAAGGTAAAAATCTCTGGATTAACTATCTAAACTATTTAGTAATTCATATATTGGCAACATTTCTTTAAACTGAAATTTCTTTGAACTTTCTTGTGAAAGTTTTAAATTGACACAATACCTGTTAGCAAAGGTGTCAGCTAGAGCTTGCAGGGATTTGTAGTTTTGCATGACGTCTACTTTGATGCTAATTAGCTTTTTCAAATCTGAGTAAATAGAGCCGACTATATTGATAAAAGTCACCTTGTCCGAGAGATTTACATGGTTATCAAAATGTCACACCAGGGTAAGCCTACACGAAACACAGCCCCTATTTTAAGTGTTTCTGAAAATTCCCTGTGGGAAAAATGAATAGTGGAAAACGATTTGAACCATTTCCCTGTTTGACTGCTAGGTTTTATGGCTATTATGACACCTCAACTGTGGGGCTCTATTCTTTTAACTTTTTTTTTTAGTTGGGTTGGAGACATAGCATAGCATCCAACATTCCATTTGTTAACTTGTCGACAAGTTAATAGGCTATTTATTGTATTTCAAAAGTGATATTGAATTGTGTTCGGTTTATATGTTGGATTCATGTCTCTAAAATGTAACTTTTATTTAGTCCTATTCTTTGACTTTTTGATTTTTGGTAAAGATGGAGATAGGAATCCAACATATAAATTATACATTTGTAGGCTAACTGGAATTAAAGCCAGACTAAGTAATTGGCACAGATGGAACTATCCATGCAGAAGGTGCATCTCCTCGTTAAATTTGAAGTCAACCAGAGCTTGAAACGCTAGGCCTATTGTATTGTCAATTTTTAGATTAATTCTGGGTTGAATTTAAATAATAGCTGTTGATGACTTTGCAAATGCTATATAGGCTTAAATAGCATCATTGATGATATAAGTGCTAAAGTATGGTCACAATTTAATTTGCTCTGTTAAACCTACCCTTTGGAATGATTTCGATTAGCAACAGTGAATTTATTTAGTTTTAAAGTGAATGGCTCTCAACAATAATTGTCACGATAGCACATTGGTAAAAATCAATGACAAATCTCATAGCTAAGCTGGGCTGGGCTTGGTTAAAACCCTGCATGGGAGACTGAAGGGTAGCTGTAGATGGATGAATTCTCCAGTAGGAGGTGCTGCCCATCCTATTGTTTTTTTTCTGATAATGGATATAAAGTTGACGTTCTGACGTTGTTTTAAAGGTACAAATTCAACATATTTGATACAATGTTTGTCTGAAATTTGGTTACCATGATGACATGCATAATCGTGTGGTTGAAATTTCACCGTCAAAACAACACCGTCATATCCAATGTATTTTCAGATTCCACATCACAATATGTTGAGGTAGCTTAGTGGTTAAGAGCGTTGTGCCAGTAACCGAAAGGTTGCTGGTTCTAATCCCCGAGCCAACTAGGTGAAAAATCTGTCGATGTGCCCTTGAGCAAGGCACTTAACCCTAATTGCTCCTGTAAGTCGTAAATGTAAATTGTAACAACGCTAATTCAAGCAGTTTGTGCCCAGTGGGTTGTTTTGAAATCATATGATCTTTCATAAGGAAATCCTGTAGGTATTCATTATTTTCTCCTATTTATTCTTCCCAGCAATTACTGCAAGAAATCTACAATCAAGATCCACACGTTATTTGTCCATCTTCAGTGAGTATGTGCCCTGTCAGTCAGTATGGGTAAAACACCCCCCAAATGTAGCTTTGTTCCCACAGTTTAGCCATTTTAGATTCTATTAACATTATAATGCATATATTCAACAATGAACAAGAATCATAATGCATATATATAATGCATATATTCAACAATGTTGAATCTGTGTTCTGTGGGGAAAAATGTAATACCATAATAGTTCATGACTAAATGTTTTGATGATAAACGGACACAACCTCACCCACCTAGTAAACCAATGGGGTTAGAGACTAACCTATTTATTTCTTATCAGTGGTTAACATCTGAGGAAGTGCTATAAAAGGGCTGTATTGCTTGTTAACTTGGCCCAGTTTTTACAGTGATGGCTCAAGGGAGAGTTTCTTTCATGGTTGCGGTTAGGAAACCTTGATAGCCGGCTGACTAAATCTGATACAATTACATAAATTATCATTACATTTGATGAATTAAATAATAAATGAAAATGGTATAACCATCTGTATCTTCCACCTCCCTCAGGATGACTGTCTACTACCTGGCCCACTTTGAGCAGCTTTCCTTGGACACGTTTGAATACATTGACTGTGGGTCTAACACCACAACACCCCACCTCATCAACCCTACACCCTGAGACCGAGGGCTCCATGAGGGGCGTGATGACAAGGGTGAGGGGAAGACTGAGGAGTAAGCCATAAGGCTATGAGGTGAACTGTGGAGAACAACTGTGTGGTTTAAAGCCATACAGTTGGTTTTTCTTGAAAAAAGAAACAGCAAAAATGTGGAGCTTGAAATTAAAATGAAAGCTCTGAAATGTTCTGTTTCTCTTTTTTTATGCACCTCTGTAGCACTTGCTTTATAAGTAGGGTCATCGCTGTGGTTGGAAGCTCTGCGCTATGAAAATTACTTTTTTGCCACTATGTCCTACTGAAAGAGACACTCTGTTTTGTCTTCCAAGAAACTGAAAGACTTGAGTTGATTACAAATTTGCACACATTTTTGAAAGAGTAATTCAAATGTTATATTTTTGCATAATTTCCTATAAAACAGATTGCCAGTGCACTTCTACAAACAAGTAAATGCAACTTTTGTATGTGTTTCATTTATATTTAATTGATGTTGGTGGTTAAAATAGGTCAATTAAGTTTTCTTAAAGTTATGCATACAATTATGTAGCATTGATCACATAATGACTGTAGTAGACTATAACTTTTCTATGGAATCACATGGGAATTACAGTTCTCTGTCTTTGACTTTTACTCTAAGAATGTGATTGTGACTACTGACCACCCATGTGATTTCTATGTTATGCCATAATCTCTCTGTAATTGTATGCTAACTAACTGCTATAACAAGAAGATCTGGATATTAATTCATCTATGGTTTTTCCTGTGTCACTGAAATGAGATTATTAGTGAGGTGAAAATGGTGAAGTTGTTTGGAATCCACATGGACAAGAAGTGTCAACACAGGTATTTTTGGAATGGGGAAGCTAACCAATTTACTTCCTTGCCTTGTGTTCTTGCGCTACAATATAATCATGGCAATATTTATTGTACCCTGTTCAAATACTCGTAATCTTTACTTTCTCTATTCCTTGAGGTAAGGGTTTTAGTGCATTTATTTCACCTTTGTCAGCTCAGTGAAATAAATTCAATACAATATTTTCTCAGGCTTTGTGATTCCATGTTCTTTGTTTGGTCACATGATTAAAGGATGTGGTACTTTGAAATAGCCACTAAGTGGTGCTGAAGTTGCATAGAAAAAGTTGCCTTGACGAATGACAGTTGGGTCCGGTCCATATGGGTCTTCTTCTTCACCAATGACTGGTTATGGGCTCTTCACCACTGCTGAGAGTACTGTATGGACTGTAAAGTTGAGAAATAAACACTCCTATAATCTTATGTACTGTATCAATAATGCATAGCATTTTCAAGGAGTATCACATGCACACACCAAGTATCTGTCAATCTTAGCACTGTACTGGAGCTTGTTTTTGCAGTGTGAACATTCATTCACGGCTGGAAGACAAGAAGGAGAAGATAATGGCATGTTAGTGGATACGACGGTCGAGAGGAAGTCATCAAAAGTGCTCATACAGTACTAAGATTTTGTACAGATGTTGTAATCAGCGTTGTGCTGTTACTAAAAACATGTTATCCTTCCTGTCAACTGGTCCAGTTGTCTGTGACTGTAGTTTCACAGTTGATAATTCACCTGCAAAATAGCACAACGCAGGTGGCCATGCCAATGAACTGTATGTGACCCATGTCAACCGGCTGGCAACTACCTCTAGTCCTTTCTCACCCATGACAGGCACTCACTGGGGGTTGCATCCAGTAAGAATGAAACAGGAAAAAGTATTTTTGAAACTATATTATTACCACTACCTGAACTCGTAACCAAGCGTTTTCTCCTATTTGATTCTCCTGAACATAATTCAAGACTTGGCTGCCTGCCACAAACCTCAGGTTTCCAATCCCCATAACTCCTCATCTGTGATATTTGAGCCACTACACAGTAGGAGCGCAGAGTGTGGCCCCCATGTATTATTTAACAGACCCCATTCTAATGAGTGGACGGTAGAGCGTGACAACCTCTGCTGCTGTGGAGACTTGGTTTGGCCAGGCTAGAGTCATTAAAATGATAAAACTATATAGAAACCTGGTTCTATTTTAGTCCTGGGGACCCACGTGACTGCACATTTTTGTTCAATACCAGGACTAACACACCTGATTAAATTATTGATGTTTACATCATAAACATCTGTTATGCAGGTGCTGCGGTCCTGTGTTTTCACCAGGACTGGAGTTGGGAAACTTGACTAGTGTAGAACACTCCGAGCTGAGCATTCCTCCTAAATGGGAGGTTTTCTGTTTGTGGTGAGGATGTATGTTCATGTCATCTCTGTGGAATAGGTTGTTGTTGACTCAGTTAATGGAAATCATTGATGTGCCTGCAAGCGAGAAGCTACCAGATTACAGAGATATTCATGAGCCAATAGAAGGCTTTAGAGAGTAAACGAATTCCATTGTTCTCAAAGTGTTGGAGTCAATTGGGGATTAATGGCTCTGGTATTGTGGGCTCCTTGCTGGACGACATGGCAAAGTCATGTTTGAACATGAGCCCACAGATAATACTCCTTAAACAGAAGCCTCGGGGCATAGAATTGTTTGCTTATGAGAATCGATTCCCTTCTTTGCCTGAATTTTGCCAGTCAGATGACGGTTGTGGTTGCAGGGTCAGAGATTTACAAATAAGTATGCAAAAGCCCCTTTTCTGAAAGGCCTACTCATGAGACATAATAACATGAGCATGTCTGGCTTATAATGAATATGGTGCAAATTAAACATTTAGATATTACCTGCCTGCTGAGCTGGTGCATTAGACTCTGCCAGTGGCTTTGAGCTTGGTTCTGATGGGTCCTTTGTCATCTGTCACAAACAAAAGAGGTAAATGTAAATGCTGTTTACATGAGGCACCCTGACATGCAGCAGAAACACCAAATGCACCTGAGATATTTTGCATATAACTAGGGGTGTTGTACTTCACAGTTTTGTAAACAGTTGCGCACCTCAGACAGGGAGGGGTTCACCCCAAGTGACGGGTCAGTTTTACACCCTCCATTTAGATAGGTTTTAATGGCCTCCAACTTCTGAATACCTGACAATGTTGAACATCCAAAATGGGGTGGAGTGGAGATCCTATACAATGATCCCTGTTCTCAGTACCAAATTACCACCAGGAATTTGCAAACTTATTTGTAAGTGATAATGGACTGTATTGCATACGGTAGCACCTTGCTCTGCTGTTTCAAGAGGTGCTTGAATTTGTAAGCACCAGTAGCCAATAACATTTAATGGCACCTTATGGTGGGAGTGAGGGATTATGATGTTTTCCTACATTTCAAGGCTATTAATTGGCTCTCGGTCAGTGCTGGCACACATGACACATTCAGCCGAGACGTCAGGTATGACCAGAGGGACACAACCTGCAAAATGAATAATAGGAAATTAGGTTGGCCCCTCACATGGGTGTCGCATGTCCGACTTTGGTTTACACCTCCGGTGTTAATCAACTATGGAACAAGCCTACTGATGGTAGCCTACCTGCTGCTTGGCCCTGGACATCCTGCGGTCCACCATGGTCTGCCGGCGCTGGGCTTCCCAATGCATAGCAGACATCCTACACCAGCACCTGTGGGAGAGCGGAGCTAACTGTCATTAAACCACAGTGCCAGTGCTGTAACCTGATAGACAGACAAACCCCTATATCACTGTTTCACCAATTCTGATTAATGACAGCCCACACAATGTCTTGTCTTTGTCTTAATATAAACAGGGTCCACTGATGTTATTCCCTCCCTGTCTCCACACTGCTGCATTAGGAGTTTCACTGAATGTGTATTACAAAAAATGGCAATAACTGTCCCTGGATAGTATAAATCTAACCTAGAGTAACCACACTAACAGTCAATAATGAAATAAAATCATATAAGACATTAAAATGAACCTCTTGATGTACTGGATCTGCTATGTTGATTATTAATCTAGGTCAATCAATTGAAATAAGATATACAATGAGGAATGTAGCAAAATAAAATTATTTGCAAGTACAGCTACTTTAAAATATTAAATTGATAAGGAAAAACATAACTTATCTCAAATCAAATCACATTTTATTGGCCACATGCGCCGAATACAACAAGTGTAGACATTACAGTGAAATGCTTACTTACAGCCCTTAACCAACAGTGCATTTATTTTTAATTAAAAAAAGTAAAACAAAAAAGTGTTGAGAAAAAAAGAGCAGAAGTAAAATAAAATAACAGCAGGGAGGCTATATATACAGGGGGGTACCGGTGCAGAGTCAATGTGCGGGGGCACTGGCTAGTTGAGGTAGTTGAAGTAATATGTACATGTGGGTAGAGTTAAAGTGACTATGCATAAATAATTAACAGAGTAGCAGCAGCGTAAAAAGATGGGGTGGGGGTGGGTGTCAGTGCAAATAGTCTGGGTAGCCATGATTAGCTGTTCAGGAGTCTTATGGCTTGGGGGTAGAAGCTGTTGAGAAGTCTTTTGGACCTAGACTTGGCACTCCGGTACCGCTTGCCGTGCGGTAGCAGAGAGAACCGTCTATGACTAGGGTGGCTGGAGTCTTTGACAATTTTGAGGGCCTTCCTCTGACACCGCCTGGTATAGAGGTCCTGGATGGCAGGAAGCTTGGCTCCAGTGATGTACTGGGCCGTACGCACTACCCTCTGTAGTGCCTTGCGGTCGGAGGCCAAGCAGTTGCCATACCAGCCGGTGATGCAACCAGTCAGGATGCTCTCGATGGTGCAGCTGTATAATTTTTTGAGGATCTGAGGACCCATGCCAAATCTTTTCAGTCTCCTGAGGGGGAATAGGCTTTGTCGTGCCCTCTTCACGACTGTCTTGGTGTGTTTGGACCATGATAGTTCGTTGGTGATGTGGACACCAAGGAACTTGAAGCTCTCAACCTGTTCCACTACAGCCCCGTCGATGAGAATGGGGGCGTGCTCAGTCCTCTTTTTTTCCCCTGTAGTACACAATCATCTCCTTTGACTTGGTCACGTTGAGGGAGAGGTTGTTATCCTGGCACCACACGGCC